ATTTTCAAAAACACACGCTGCTGATTGTTATTTTTAATAGGTGAACAAAAGAAATATTTTTTTAAGAAAGAATATAACTTAACTGCAAGCTATGTCTTATTCCTAGATAGCGAAGCTTGATTACAAACTCAATTTTTAAAATACATTTAATTATCTTTATGCTTTAAAAAATGTCTTGTCTGGTATTTGGCCACCCACTTAACTTACACGTTGACCATTTAAATAGAGCACTACCAAATGGCACATTGAAAATGATCATATTCATCTCAGTGAGATGGATATGATTCTCATATCTTTTCTGTTTCGCATCTCTTTCTCGGAAACAAATCTACCTATGTAGTATATTAATGTATAGGTAGCAGACATTCTGTCACTGTCAGCCGAACGGTAAAGTCGCTGAATAGTCGCAGAATACCGAGTTCTGACTTAAGTTCGATTCTAAGAGAACGGGCTGGCTGCATGGGAGTTTTCATAGTTTTCCGCATATATAACATATATACGAGCAGTTTCTTTAAAAAGTCCTGGGGCCCACCAGCGGCCGAGCGATAAAGTCGCTGAACACTGGTAGTTCGGTCCGAGGTTCGAATCCCGCGAACGGGCTGGCTGCATGGGCGTTTTCGTGGTTTTCCCATGTGTAACGTGTATACGAGCCAGTTTCCCTTAGAAAGTCCTCCACGACGCCATCCCTCCCCTTAGGCAGATAGCCCTCGAGGCTTTGCCGTAATTAAATAACCTAACCTTTAAAAAGTCCTCCACGAAGAGACCCTCCTCTTAGGCAGACAGCTCTAGTATGCTTTGATGTAGTCAAATAAGCCAAAACATTCTGTTGGCAAAAAAGCAAGATTGCATTTATCATGAATAATTTCTAATGCAAAAGTTATACTTGTCACTAAGGAAAGAATTTATTTTTGTGTAAAATTCAGATTGCTTGAATTTTAATAATTCTCAGAAACGAAACACAAATAACAAAAAAACTAAAAAAATATTCATAATTAATTACGATATATAAACGATGTAATCATTAAGCATATTTTTAGTAAGAAAGAATATTTTGTAATAAATAAATGAAAAATATATTTAATACTAAAGAATCCTCTATATATCTCTACAAAGTATAAAAATTACAAATATTTTTCAAGGTGCATGTGTATATGTACCTGATAAAAATATTTACATTGTTTATTATTCTAGCGATATTTTTAACCAGGTGCATATTTTCCGTGAGGCATTTTCCGGAGAATTTTTTTTCCCGATATACATTTTCAGGATATTTTCTTGGCATTCGTTTTACTCAAGTGGTTAGATTAAAGTGTTATTTTGTATGCTGTGAAACCTAACTAGAATTTATTTTCATTCCATAGTTGCTTCACATAAATTTTCGATTTTCATGTAATATTCAGTTTCATAATTGCACTATCATTTTGAGATTTACTATACTTTTCTTTTCAGTTTTTTTTTATTAAATGTTGTCTACAACTACTTTCAATAAAATACTGATATGATATATAATAGGGAAATATAACATACACGCGCACACATGCTCACAAACTTACATCACCATATGTATACACAGTGTTTTGTATTGTGTGTTTACATATATATATATATATATATATATAATATATATATAGTTTACATATGCAATATTAATAATTTTACAGCAAAACAGTTTTAATAATTCCTACGAAAAATGTGATAAATTTTCACGAAATAAACTGCTTAATTTATATATATATATATATATATATATATATATTGCGCTTTCCATAGTTTAACATAAATGAAGTTTTTTAAAGTCTGAATTTAAATAATGATATTGTGTTTATATGTACTGTAATTACTGATGAAAGGATGTTTCTGAATTTAAAGCCAGGGCCTTAAATTACTAACAGACGGCAAATACACAACTTGAAATCAGAGTCTTTGGAAGAAGCAATAAATTTAGAATTTTCGGCAGCTCCATTTCTCGTCATAGTTAACAAAATGAAAGAACTGAGAAAATAGATAGCGGATGCTTTTTTGTCCTTGCACAAAGGTAATGGTCTCCCATATAAAGTAGAAAATGTACAAAGGTGGTAAGCTTTTAGTTCAGTAACCCCCCTGGAGGTATATTTACGTTGAAGTCAACTTGGAGATTCCGCTATTAGGTGTTTTCTTTGAAAAGGGTAATATCTTTTTCAGCACATAACCAGAAATAAGAGTTTATGTTTTCATTACTTAATCTTCAAAGCTGTATAATTTGGAGCATCTGCTCGAAAAACTGTTAACTTATTTTTCATCATTCATGAAAAGAATACACACCTGCGTAAATGTCTTGGAGAAATAATATCGTTAACAATTTTGCTACAAAGAATTTTTTTTTTTTTTTTTTTTTGGTTTCTATTAACATCTCGATAATGCACGTAGTATATAAATACTTGCATTGTAACTCATATATAGCTAATTACAAGGAAATTGCATTGTAACTCGAAAATACATTTATTTTCTCAAGAAGCTCCTTTGTCCAAGCTGTTTACTTGTTTTCTACCCCCAAAGTGATTTTACTCTATAAAAGCCGAACTGCCTGATCTCATTCATCAGCCACTTCATCTATTCTGCTGTTGAGTTATGCGATATACATGCATACGTACGGACATACGTCGCGCTAAAACTAGTCATAAGTCCCAAATATAAAATTTCAACATTTTATGTTAAGTTATGCGACATACGTACGTTTAAACGTCATGATGGAACTATTCAAAATGGAAATTTCCTTTGAAATATGAAAATCGAAATGTTTCGCGATTACAATACTTTATTTATTTCTCACAAGTCAAAACGGTGTCATAAATAACTAACTACTAATAAATTTATGTGCAATCTAAAGAATTATTTAAATCTAACACTTTAAACTGGAATAAACTTATAATATTTGAAAATTAAATACAAACATAATACTAAAATAAGTTGCGAATAATTTGTATTCGAAAAATTGGAACACGAGAGAAAAAAATTCTCACAAAATCCCTTTGTATATTAAAAAGTATTTCCTCAGAAAATAAGGATAAAAAAATGCAAGATTAATTTTTCACCATTATCGAAGCAATTCCTTAAAGAAACTGGAAATTTAAAGCATTTTACGTACGTAGTTCTCTTACTGATGTATATTGACTAACTTTCTGTATTCGGCACATATCTTGATTTTAAGGTACGAGTAATATACAGTAGTATATGTGTTAGTGTGCAAATTATAAAGTAGCCAAATAGGAGATAAAATACTATTTTAGCAACCAGTCTCGTGACGAAGATACCATAGGGAGAAAAAATAATTTCACTCGCTAAATTCAACGGAAGGGAGAATTAGCTTAATTATATCCACATGGTAAGGGGGGGGGCCCGCTTTTGAAGCAGTTTGAGTAAAAATGCTTGCCGCTTTTGCGACAGACCTGGTAAGAAAACACGATTATTTTTACGTCGTTTCCTGAAAAAACCCGTAACGCTCGGGGGGTTAATTCCAGATTTTCCTAACAATAACTTGATGGAAAAGCCAAAAATATGCAAAAAAAAAAAAAAAAAAAAGAGAAGATTTTATTTGTGCTTCCTGAATAAATAACATTCTAAGAAAATATCCACATCACTGTCACAAACAAACTATTTTTGTTTGCATCGGCTAATCTTTGGAATATGGTAACAGGTAGTTTGGTGACATTTTGGTAAGGCGATAAAGGTTACTAGCTAGGACTTTAGCAGTGTACATGGATAAAGTCAAGAGTGTGCGCAATGCCATTTTTGTGCAATTCTTGGATGTTTTTTTAAGTGAAAATAGGTCGACGTGTACATGGTTACCGTGTATGTGCAATTCTTAAAAATGCGGCAAGCTGTTTGCGATTCTGCACTTTCTCCCACTTTCGCACCTAATCTTCATCATGTTTAAGCACTTTTGTTCCATAAAAGTTTTAGCATAAGCGTAATTCAGCTAGCAGATTGTTGGGGAAAAAATGTTGAGTTTAAAAAAAAAAAAAAAAGCCTTTACTTTGTGAAAACAAAATAGCATCCAAACAAAAACTAGCAGGTTGCTGTAACAGGGTTGGTCACCAAATTTTCGCCAAAAAATTGCCAAATTACCATAATCCAAAGATTAACCTTTGCATCTTTTAGAAAACTGTACTGTTTATTAATATGATTTATAATGATGTTATCATTTTTATTTGTTGATAATTCATCTTACCCAGTATGCTGGATCATTGCAGTTGATATTTATTTTGGCTGAGTGTTCAAATTTACTTTCAGCATTCTCATTATTCTTGGCTGTGAGTGTGACATCACTACCTAAGCCTTTAACAGCAAATGCAGTTATTTTCTTCAGAAAATACAGTATTTTTTGTGAGTTTGAAATTAATCATTAGATGACATATGTGTACATATACATGCAGCTGAAGAAGTTCAGGCTGCATTGTTCCAGTATTTTTTGACTGCTGCCTCTCGTTAAAGACTTTTTCTGTTTTTATAGCCGGATAACCATTTTGGGAAAATTTCTCAATTTTACGAGATGGAAAGGGAAATAAATGTAAACTGTCTACAGAAAACAAAAACACTATGCTACATAATTATAAATGGCAGAAAAGAAAAAACATGCTCAGAGACAAACAAAACCCTTATTTTAGCTCAACATCCATTCAGCGTTGGATTCTATACACCTTTTTTTTTTTTCATTAAAAGTCAGTATCTGAAAAAAAAAGAGGGGAATAAAAAGTGCTATAGCTTATAGTGTGAGAAGCTGAACCCAAATAACATCTGGATTTAGACAGAAAAGTGTTAAAAATTTCAGATTGAGAAAAATTTGTATATTTTCACTTTTTTGGTGGGGATATTCTTGATGCCACACCTGGCAACTGTCCATGTTGCCCACACCTTGAGCCAACTCTGGTTGCATATATACTTCAAAATATGCTAAAAACAAAGGCAACACTGAATGTTGGAACTACGAGTGCAGATAATCAGAAAGTACCACTCAAACTTACCTATTTCACCAGAAACAGCCTTTTTAGCTCCAAATATTGTTCCTTTATATGTAGTGCCATCGTCTAATACTAAATAACCTAACATTTTGAAATTAGTTTCCTATGACTTCTGAAAAAAAAAATTGCAATTATAAATAAATATTAATACATAACTCATCATTAAAATGTTTCCATCTGAAACAAGACAAGTTAAAAAATAGTATAGCAGAAAACCATAAATGTATAATGTAATTTATAAAAAACACCATCCAATTATATGATAATCTAAAATATTAAATTTATTCACATAAATTTCAAAATATATAATGTTTATTTAGTTGCACTATAGTTATTTTTGTTACTGCTTTCAATTTTGATAAATATTCCTCCTGCAAAATATTAATACAAATCCTTGATAACAATTTTTTTGCAAAACTATTAATGTAAATCACAGACCAAGAAAGTTACATGAATTTTTGCTACTTATCCCATGACCCCCCCCCTAAATTTTGCTCATGACAAATTTATAGCCTTAGACATACATAAATAAAATATATGTAAATACGGTTATAGACTGAAGGGTACCTCCTGTACTATCGCAAAATTGTTGCTTCATTTAATCGCCAAGTTGTTGTTTTGTTTATCGCCAAGTTGTTTCATTTATGGTAACCTGAGTAGTTAAATGTTCCATAAATATACTTTTACCTAGAATTGTGTGCTCCTTTGACTTTTTAAGTGAAAATATATTGATGTGTACATGGACACATCAATATATTTTCAAGTCAAGGGAGTGTGCAATGCCAAGTTTGTGTAATTCTCTGATGTTTTTTTAAGTGAAAATAGGTCGACATGTACATGGCTAAAGGTCAAAGGAGTGCACAATGCCTAGTTTGTGCAAATCTGTGATGTTATTTTAAGTGAAAATAGGTCAAAGAATTGCACAAACTCAGTATCCATGTACTGCTAAAAATTGTCAATTTTCGCCAAGGGGTACCTGTAAATATACTTTTACCACAAACAATAGTCTTTATCATTTGTTACCATTGAATAAATACACATGCATCATTTCAGAATAATATTTTAAGAAAAATAAAGTTCGTCAACATGTTACTATACAAAAATTTGCAGATTTCTCTTTGCATCAATGTTAATGAACAAAATATAAAGAAAGAAAAATAATCATGGTAAATAACGTACCATAATAATTTCAAAACCACCTTCTACTACAACAAATGTCATTTAAGTACCTGGTTAAAATATGCCATATAGTGCTAGCTAGAAAAGTATGGCATATTTTATGAATGAACAATTTGTCAGCTCAGTAATCTGTACACTGAAGTTATGCAGCTCTTAGTTTTCACATCATTGTGGCATCACTTGCAAACTTCAAAGAACACAATAATATGCACACAAAGTACATATAGTTCTACTGACACAACACCAAAAAAGCAGTATTTGAAAACAAAAAGTCCAATTACTTAGTGCTAGAAATTTTTCAAACATTTCATTTGTTACAGGACTAATCTTTTTACATCTAATGTTAGTAATACATATATCTACAGCCAGATTAAGACTTTTAGAGGCCCTAAACACTAAAACATTTTGGTGCCCCCACATATATTTAAACCAGCATTTTTTTCATTTCTTCTCTCTCTCTCTCTCCCACTTTCTCAGTTTAGGTTTAGCTGAACCATGCATGATATGGCAAAACTGGCAATGGGAAACTTTGGTGTTTCCTTTCCTGAATACCTAAGGACCTTTTGTGGTGTCACATTTTATTTATGCCCTAAACACATGCTTACATTGCTTAATGGTTAATCCAGCCCTGCATATATCCATAATTCTTTTAGTATCTATTTTTTAGTTATCTAGAGGGGAATACTAAAATAGATGCTAATAAACAGATAGATGCTAACATAATTCATCATGTAAATGAATAATCTACTTGCAATATACATGAACATTAAAGTGCAATATTATAGATGTATTTTCTTTTTAATTTTCTCTCAAGGAAATTTGATTTTCTTCAGAATTTACTGTAAAGATGCAGCATATAACATACAAGTATAGAAAATAAGAATTAATCTATTATTTATGTCATTTGTACTATGAAATTTACTAACTGTGGGATGTTGATGCTCCTAACCCCCTCCCCCATATACTAAAAAGATCAATGGTATAATATTTATTGATCAAAATTATTCTGAAAACCATCTTATAAATGCAGCAAACATTTAAAAAACACATTAAGAGAGTTTATTTGTTATTCCATAACTGTTAAAAGGAAACAAACTCAATTTTATTTCAGTGGATATTATCTAGAGCTTTTAGTAATAACTGTTTAATAAATCAGTCTTTGTTTGGTCAAATATATGCAGGTCAGTGTGGAAATACAACATTAACATCATACAACAAAAGAACTCAGAAATATATTCAAAATGTCTGTTTCTACCATTTATCAATTCTTGTGATTAAAGTATAACTTTTTTTTAATTCTAGACAGATGAAGTGAAATATATAGGATATTGATAAAAAATTGCTTGAATATATTAAATATAAAAAAAAATCGATCAAAGCTTTTAGCGGATAATATAAACAAAAAAAAAAAAAAAATCATTCACATTTGGTTAGAATTTAAATACGTTATCATTATGTCAAGAATTTTTCCTCCATTCAAATTTTCAGAAGCGACTGCCAACAGAATAGTATAATGCTTTAAGGCAGAAAAGATCTAAAACGCAAAGCGAGATCACCTCCAAAAATAGGTAAAGGTAGAGACCAGGTAAAATAATTTCTATTATTAAAAATATCGCTAAAATTTACAGACATCATTATTGGATTATGAACTTAGTTTCCAAATCTGAGACTAAATAACAGAATACATAAAATATTGACATGCTTTTAACTTGAATTGAAAACATACCGGCTAACCAATTTAAATGCACCTCTCCCCACATCAACCCAATCGCGAAAACGTGTGTGCGCAAGAGAGAAATGCCAGATACAGCTGTCATGAAACGTAAACACAACCGGTTTTTTACTGACCTTGAATTTCCATTGCGTCTACTACTTTAAGGGATAGTTAATTAATGTTAACTGTAGCTGCAACTTGAAATAAAATTTAGCAACCTAATGCATAGTTATGATTTCCTCATAACTGATACTATTTTTACCTAGCAATTCTTGTTTTCGATTTTCTGAAGGTGAATGGACTCGTGGACCTCGTCTAGTATATTCCTAGACATAGAGATTAGTAACAACAACAACAACAACAACCTAGCGATGCAAGCTCGATTTAAATGTCAGTTTCATCCCTTAATTCAATTTTTCACGTCAAGCTATCTTTGCAATAGACCAAGAAATGTTCGTGAAAGGAGCGGTATAATGTAATTATGTTGAAATGTACCGGGACTCCTCACTGTCGACTTCGTAATCTATCACATGAGCATCATATTGGCAATAAGTTTCAATTTCTTTCTCGTAAAGGCAAGATAACTTAAAAAATTCTACGGATTATTTGTTTACATGAATAACAAAGTGTACGAGGCGTATCAGCTTTAAAAGCTGGTGTGCCTTCATGGAAGGCTCTACAAGGCACAGTCTTACGTTTCACGAGAAAGCCTTAGAACGTATAATGAAAATCTGCGAAACTGTGTGTTAATAAACAATTTCACTGAAATATTGAAAAAATGTAGTCTTACAACGGAGTGATCTTTCAACAGTATAACAATGGAGTTTTATCTTTTAGTTTGTACAAAAAGAAAGGATAATGACGACCGTTTATATTCCTTGTACATATTTATCTCACAAATATTCAGTTTAAAGAAATATATCTATATATCATAATCTGTACAGAATTAAGACTCGGATACTGAATATATCATAATCTGTACAGAATTAAGACTCGGATAATTATCTGAACTTTAATTTATAAATTGGAAGAAATATTTAGGATTTGTAGCATTCAAAACAAAAGTTGTTTTTCGCACTTCTGAATTTATTCTTTGTACCTAATTTATAATTGCTTAACATTGGTCAACAAAACGTTATAAAAGTTGGAAAACAATATTATCTTTTAAAATTTTGAAAAGGTAGTAGAATTAATAATTATAAAATTATATACATTTCAGTATAAGACAACAGGTTTGTTCAATATTGAAAAAGTTATTTTTATTGCATGAATTCTAATTAGAATTTTCGAAAGTAATAGTACTTTGAACTGTGGGCTAAGTCAACAAAAATATTCATGATAGTTGTGTACTGGGCAAACTACTCAAAGACCATCTGTCCAGGAAAAATGGGGAAAAAACACTCGCTGGAGAGCATCAGATTGCATTTTTATTAGAAAAACTGTGATACTTTATTCCAATAACTTAAAATCAGAAAGGAAAGGAGATTAACTGCATTGCGCCAAAAACATAGCTAGAGATGGTGGTCATCTTTGAACGAAACATTTTGAGGGGATATTTTTAGCTGAAAAATTATTTTATAGATGTTAATTACGTGATCGTTGAGGCGGGTGAAGACTAAGATTCTTTAAATAGTTGCATGAAGAAAAAAATTGCTAATCATAAATTAAATTAATTTCAGCACGTACAAATGATAGATTCGTAAAGACCTAGACGTCACACATTAATAAATACTGTTGTTTCCATTGTCTTTGAAATATATTGAGCATCCCCAAAACATTTCTGAGTAAAAGATTAACCTTAGAAGATGCATATCTTTCACTTCGAGTAAACACACTCGCACACACAAAACAGGGCCTTTAATTACACCCCCAAAAAATAGTCTTATTCTCATTCAGAACAAAATTTGGATTAATAAGAAAGCTTTATCAAAACAAGAGATTAAAACATTACTAGCTTTCACATACCTTAAAAGTAGCATACAGAATGGCATACCTTAAACAAGTTTTTCGAAACTAAGTAATCCAAGTTTACAGAAGAAATATGTGTTCTAATGTAAATTAAGAATAGAAAAATCCTGAAGAATAAGCAGCTCGATTAAAAATTAAATAAATAATAATTTGGATATCTTTTAAAGATATTGTAACACAGTTTAAAAAAAATGGAAGGTTATCTTTCTAAGAGCAAGTCGGGGAGGAAATTTATTAAGAGCTACAATAAAATGATTTGCGGAACTTTGTAAAACAATTACTTTATACATTTGTATTTAAATATTTTAATAAAAATTTGGATGCTTCAGCGATCAGCAGAAGAAAGTTTTCCATCCAGAATATGGAAAACATACTCTTTTCCGTCTGATATTCTAACAATGAAAAAACTGTAATCAAATGAGATGGAAAACGTGACGGGAATAATAGATGACGGGGATTTGTTGTAGAATAAATAAGTTATATGGCGATAAGATTGTAAACGAAAACCCGCATTTTGCACATTTTTCATCGACAGCAGATTTAGCTTGAAACTGTATTTATGGAAACTTCGTAAATATTAGTGTCTCTTTCCACTGAAATGCAGAGGTTGTTCGCTCATTTTTTTAAGATGATTTGGATTAACAAGTAACTGAAATTAACAAAGTACATAAAAATTGATTGGCATCGCCTTCTATTCCGATAGATAAAATTTTAAAAAAATATTACTAAACATGAAGTGCCAGTACCATTGGCGGCTTCTTCATGGTGAATAATATCTCTTACCTCTACCACGCAGAATCACCCAGTTTATTTTCTTCAGACCATCTTCAGACGTTCACGAGTCTAAACTAGGTCTTTCAGCTTATAGAAGTTACAAACTGGCAGTTAACAGCAATTGCTACAAACCCACTCTGCAAGGCATCCCGAAAATCATCAAAACCGATTAACTGGACCTGGAAGGTAGAAAGTTTACTAACTTCTTAAAGTTATCAATATAAATAAGGAGTGACATCAAGCCGTAGTGACCACCAAATAGATTATTCCAAGCTATTAAACAGCTCATTAAAAACGGAGAATGGAAACGATGGTAGACAACATGGGATACTGCCTGTGAAATATACAGTATTATATATATATAAAGAAAGAAAGAATAGGAAAGCAGTAGGAACAGACGGAATAAGCGCACAATAAACAAGAAATGAGCACTTAATTAAGCCCTTAAAATAATAAATAAATATAGAGCTTAAATATCTATAAAGCAATAAACGCTTAAACATCTGCCACCTAATGCTATCACTAATCTCACTAAAATTATTAACTTATGCTTATAGCACAGCGATTTCCGTAAAAAAGGGAAGATTTTCATAATTATCAAATTTTCAAATATAAATATAAATAGCCAATTCCTACAGAACTACTGACCTGTCAGCCGGTTTAGTGCATTGTCTAAAATCACAGAAAGTATTATCTAAAACCAACTATTACATCATAGCAAAACAATTAATTTTTGTCTGCACAACATTGTGAATTCAGAGCTGCCACTCTCTTCGTGTAATTAATACAGTTACCGAAGTTTTAGCTCTTAAATGCAGAAAAGAAATGCTCTTGAGTGCTTATGAGCGCAGTTTTCTCGAGTATAGCACGGCAAGTGTGGCATAGCGGCCTTGTCTGCAATCTCGTAAAACTGAAGCTGCTGAATTACATCATCCGTGTGTTTACCTCTTTTCTAAATAATAGCTAATTTTACTAGTATCATTTTTAAAGTCTTTACATCCGTGAGATCTCTCAGAGGTCTCTCAAATAAGTTACAAAATATTTTCATTAACACACATATGATTTTTCGTATGACCTTAAAATTCAATTAGCGTTATTGATTATAGTATTGGTATTGTTACATAAGCATCGTTAGACATCAACTTCAAAGCTACGTGAAACAGCTAGAAAAGTAGCATACAGAATGGCATATCTTACTGAATACACAAAACTGTATCATATTCAACCATAGACGAGATTGTAGAGTCACTATTCAGCAGAGACGTGTGTTAATGCAAGGAAAGGAAAACTAGATAACTTTTTACATCGTACTTTTTAGTTACATAGAAAAGTAGCATACAGAATGGCATATCTTACTGAATACACAAAACTGTATCATATTCAACCATAGACGAGATTGTAGAGTCACTATTCAGCAGAGACGTGTGTTAATGCAAGGAAAAGAAGATATAACTATTTTTACATCGATTACATTAATTAGATTCGAAAATATATTAGCATATATACAAAGATAATAAAATAAACATCAGATTTAAGTCGCGACGCAATCAAAGAATAATCATAAACCCGAATCCACGTTAGTAGCTAGTTGTAGGAAAGTCAGTCGGTATTGCTCGACCAGGTGGAAGTCAGTTTTGTGCATCACTGATGGCTGCTAGAGATCAACTGTCGAGAGTCAGTCAAAAATTCTGTTCCTTGCTGGACGATAGAGAGAAAGCTAGCAGTGTCATCTCTTAGATTTGGCCATCACTTAAGAGTTCTCTGCAAATCTAATGCAATATCTTACATAAAAAGAACATCTAACAAAAGAATGGATGACTTATTCTGCTGTCGATCAAATGCAAGGAAAAGCTAAATGACGTAACTCCATCCCATAATCGAGCAAGCTGATATTCCGTGTTCATTTCAGAATTGTAGCGGACAAATTCAACTTCACTTTATGCTATATAAATCTTACACTAGGACTGAATAGAGAACTCTTCATTAAGAATAAATTAATTCTCCAGACCAGGATTATTAAATATCTCTGTAACTTGGGGATCTGCGGCGAAAACACATTTTCAAAAAAAAAAAAAAAAAAAAAAAAAAAAAAAAAAATGCCTAGATAAATAGTTAATGTCTCTTGGCTTGACAAAAATTTTGCGGCTAATCTTCCGTAAGCGGGATAAGTTGGTGCCAAACTATTTTAGCCTTCAAAAATTAATAAGGCCTAAGAATGTTCTGAATTCGTGAATGGTTGTTGGAAGTTTGTAATTAGCAATAGTTTGGACAGATAAAGGTCGTGATCCTTGGGGAGTAATTTAAATAACACCACAATTCTATTTCTTGTGTGCCAAAGATGG